ACCGGAAGGTTGGCCGTTCAGACCCACCAGCCGGAGAACGATGAGGCAGTTGCTTTCCCTAAAGAGTAACCCAGACCTCTTGCCACTGGGTCGATTCCAACTCACCAACTCACCGGGGCCGTATCAGGCTCTTGAGGGCTGTAACTCTGTGAGGGAGCAGCCATCGTCATCTGTCCCCCTCCAGTGGCTGGTGGGTCTGAACTGCCAACCTTGCTGTTAGCCCAACACTGGCAGCACCACTGGCTCCTTGAGGGAAAGTTGACAGCCTTGGAAGCCCTGAGGGTCAAGCCGCCTCAGCCCTGTGGGGTCGCTGTGAGTTGTAATCTGTGAGTTAGAATCGCCTTGGCCATAGGGCTGTGGGTTGACTTTGTTTTGAACATGGGTTTCTGACTGGGAGGGGAGGTGATTCCCTGCATGTGCAAATGGTTAAGTGCTGTCTGCGAACCGAAGGTAGGAGGTTCAAGGCTGCCCAGAGGCACCTCGGAAGAGAGGCCTGACTCTGTGGCTGTGCAAACCCTGTGTCCCACAGGTCTGTGTGATGAGAGGGGATGGCTGTGGGTGGCTGGCAGTGGGCCCCTCCTTCTCCTTCACCTCTGTGTCCCTGAGAAGGAGGGACGAGGGTCAGACTCGTTGCCTGGCAGGCGTGGTGACCCAGGGAGCAGCCAGCTTACAGGAGCTGTCCTCGTCTAGCAGGACATCAGGGTGACTCTGACCCTCCAAGGGTTCCTTGGGGACGTCTGTGGCCATCACAGCTGAGGGGTGCTGCTGGCAGTGCACATGTGGAGGCCAGGATGCTGCTCAGCACCATGTTCACAGACACCCCCGGCAGAGAGGGATTGGTCCCCATGTCGGCAGGCCCTAGAGGAGGGAGACTGTAATTTAGAAGGAAACTGAGTTGTATCAGACAATGTCCACCAGGGGACCCTCCAGCTCCTGTGAGCTCCCCCTCCCCATCAGATCGGGGGCCTAGGCCAGCAGGAGGGTATGATCAGACCCTCAGGGGGTCTAATATAATCCTGGGGTCCTCACCCGGGTGATGCCACCACCAGGGAACACTGGGCCATGTCTGGGGACGCTTGTGGTAGTTAGGGTTTAAGCTGGTGTGTGTGTGATTGTCATCAAGTGGGTGGAGCCCAGGGATGCTGCCTAACACTGTAGAGTGCCCGGAAAGGACCCAGCCTGCTGTTAGCAGTGTGGGGTGGGGGGGAAGGAGCCCTGCCCTAGACTGTACTGAGGTCCAGGACTTATGGGCTGCCCCTCGATGTTGCCAGAGCAGTGGCTGCTTGGGGTGGGGGGCAGGGGCCGCAGAAGCGTCCTGCCTCTGCAGTGCACACCTGATGGAGTGGGGAGGGGGCTTCGTGGGATCCTCCTGTGAAGGGGCCCAAGTTGATTTTCCTGTCTCTTCCCGGACACCCTTCCTGTCATGGCTGGATGTCACAGCGCGCCCATGTAACAGTAAAATGCGGAAGGGTTTCCTAGGCTCTAATCTTGGTTAAATCTTGGCTGGCTAACCACAAGGTCAGCACTTCAAAATCACCAGCCGCTCCTCCTTGGAAGAAAGACTGGGCTTTCTACTCCCATGAAGGTTCACAGCCTTGGAAACCCCCAGGGGCAGTTCCTGTCCTGTCCTGTAGGGGGACCGTGAGTCGGGAGTGAGCTCACAAGGGAGTAGAGATGGCCAGGCTTTTCTCTAGGGAGCAGCTAGGTAGGTTTGAACTGTCACAGTGGTGAAGCCATCAGAGCTGGCCACCCTCCGGTGTCCCCCTCATCTCCCTGCTGCCGGGAGCTGTCAGGGGCCATGGACTGCCCCATGTCCTCCCGAGGCCCCAGACAGAAGGCAGACAACCTAGTGCCTGCTGGCGGACCTGTTCCTGGAGCAGCCAGTTTACTTCCCCTGAGAGGACTCAGGCGGTCCCCTAGGTGCCGGG